TTTAAAGAATATATCGTCTTGTAGTGTGTATCTTGTGGCCCTTAATTGCAATTTTTGTACTGCCTTTTTATCTTCGGGAACTGTCCCATCTTTTAGATGTGAGATAATTTCTTGTATCTAAAGGCTTTATCTTTTATTCATAGGATTTCTTCTCCGCATTCTTTGAACTTGTCAGTTTGACAAAGCATTCACATGCTCTTTTCTCTCTAGGGGTTTGAGTGAGTTCAAATTTATTGAAGTACTGAGATGATCATATGGCTTTTGTGAGATAAACAACCATCATTTTATCCTTCTCGTTCAAATTTATTGTAAGTACTTTTCGTTCACTTGATTTACTACCAGCTGCGAGTCGCTTTTTATTTTTATATTTTAAGCTTGCATTTCTTTTCGCCAACTGAAGACCTGCGAATAAGGCTTCATATTCACCTGCGTTATTTATTGCTTTAAACATAAACCTTAATGCACAATTTAATTTGTGCCCTTCTGGGTTTGTCAAGATTATGCCTGCTTCAGAACCGGAATCTCCCGATGACCCATCTACAAATAATTTCCATGTTTCTTGTCTAGGCTTTTTGTTACGAAACAATACCGCAAGCGTACGGGTTCGTTGCACAAGTAATAATCGTGATGAGAGAGTTATCGTTCCACATGGAGTAAATCTTAATTCTAGTGTATTCGATATATGTAAATTCGTGATTATGATAAAATATGTTTGATTTATATCTAACTACGTTTTATAACTATGCGAACAATGAATATTTGTTTAAATTAAAAGTGATGAATGTATTGGATTTCTAACTCCACTAATCGACTCTTAACTTCAATTCTCAACTTGTGATAATTAATTCAATCCTTGCAGTTGTGATGATCGATAATTTCACTTTTATTTACTATTCTTTTCCAAGGTATAATAAACCTATGCTTATCATGACACGATCCTATTCTTAGTCTGCATTCATGTGACAAACATGCATTAAAATTTAGGATTATCACACACGATCGCACACTTCATAAATATTATTCATAATATTTATTATTCATGTGTTCTATAAATAGTGTTCTACCAACCGTGAGTTTTCCAACACTATGAATACGCAACTTATTGCCCTAATGGTGCGCAAGCATTAAAACAATATGACTATACATGTTTACAGAATCACAACGCAAGAATTAAACTAAAAAATAACAAGTCTTGAATTAAAAACTAAAAATCAAAGAGTTTTGTCAACCATTCAATACAATTGAATTCAGTCTAGTATATTAACGTAAAAATTACATTGAAAATAAAAGGAAACCATCATCCGAATCATAGAAATATGAAAAAATTTGAAAATCTTCACTTCAAGCTTTCAAATCCAGACCCTAATGATGAATTATTCGTTCTTCGATATAAATTCTCTCTCTCTGTTCAAAATACGGCTCTCCCCTCAAAATTTTGAAAATTTTCCTTATAAGATGTCAAAAAGATTACCCTAAATTATTATCAAAACAAAATAAGGAAAGTGAGATTTTTTCTCATTTAACCTTGAGGCGCACGCCTTAATTAAGGTTAAGTATCTACATTAGACCATCTTTACTTGATTTAAACATTAAACATAAGTTAGTTATGCGTTTAAGATATCTTAATAACCATTTTAAAGTATTCTAGTATTTTTCCCCAGGGTTACTCATAAATCTACTTAATATGCTAATACTATATGCAAGATCAGGTCCTGTACAAATAATCAAATACATGATTGAACCAATAGCATTTGCACAGGGAACTTCAAACATTCTAATATATTTATCTTTAGTTTTAGGACAAAATTCAAAAAATAGCTTAAAATGATTAGCAAGAGGTAAGATTACAGGTTTGCAGTCTTACATGTAGATATTTTTCAAAATTTAACCACATAATCTTGTTGATTCAAGAATAGCAAGTCCATTTCTTTATTTATCCAAATTTGCATGTGTTTGGATTAACAACAAGAA